TTTGTTTGGCAGGACCTGCCTTTCAAGCTGGAAAAAATCCAAACTGGGGGGCTGAAAAGAATATTGCTCCTGTTCTGCCTTCCTCCTCCATATGGCAGTGCATCGACTATTTTTGTGGGTTTTTTACATTTATTACTTGCTATTTTAGTGTATCACTAAAAGGATGGTTTATAACAAAGTAGTGCCCCCAAATGCTTACATCATCATCAGGAAAAGCCAGAAGTCCTGGAGCTCCATGGTCAGTGAAATAAACAAACACGTGATCCTTGGGACCACTGTAAGGAAAAAAATGCAAAGAAATTATTTCTGACAACTCCACCCTAATCTTCACTATAACAAACATCACCTGCTTCTCAATGCCAAGACATGTCAATATTTGAAAATAATACAAATGAAGCACCTCCTTCTCTTGGTGATATTTTTTTTTTCCTCCCAAAGCATGCTACTTGGAGTGGTTATGAGAGGAGATAAGTGCCTGCAAGAGGAATGAAAACAGGGATATAGGCTAGTCCCTCGAGCATGGGGAATTCAACGATTACACTTCCCATTTCAAGCTGTAAACTGGTTAGGCAAGAGCTGGTATGTCGAGTATGGCAGGAGCACAATTGCTTTTTAATGCCTGTCTGAAGAATTTGTTATACTGTGGACATTTGTAGCAGTCTGGTAAAAAAGGAATGCTTTTATAATTAAGTTATACCAAGGCACCAACAATGCAGGGATAAATCCCAACAACTTCTTTGATAAGATCCTTAGGTATGTACAACCTTGTTGTGATCTCCATGGCCATACTTAGCCAAATCAGGGTCAGCCTACGTCTCTGTGAAGAACTGATCCGTACACAGACTCGCACGTTAGGCTGAGCACTGCACGCTCGCAGGCTTTGAGTCCCCAGTGTCTGCGTAGCACGCTCTTTGCCGGAGGTTTTTATTGCACTCTAAACCTAAGAGACCATGTTTGGGTGATATTACAGTCTTGCCCTAACAGACAGATCAGCAAAGGGATTTTGCTTTTAAACTGCATCCAGGGACAATTAAATATAAATTAACGTGAACAGATTGGAAGGAGTCCCCAGGCCTTCCTTTATTCCTCATATCAGTGGTCGGGAAACCTGTACTTGCTCTTGCCCTTTCCTGACTGCAAAGAGGCGGCATGGCTGCAGCAGCTCAAGAGAACCCTGTCCAGCCTTGTGCCTGGCCAATAACCTGCTGGTTATGGAAAAACCTGGAAGATAATCTAGAAGCCTTTTTTGGCAGTGGATAAGGGAGTTCTTGTCCCACCCAACAGCACAAGTCAGGCCACTTGTAAATTCACACAACAGAGCCTAACAAAGAAGGGTTGGGTCTTATTTTTCTGGCTCTCACTCTTACCCCTAAGTGCAAAAAAAATCAACCAATGTGAAATGTAAATAACTAAGACTGTTATATATGGGATCAAGTTGTCTTCCTAAGCAGCTAAGAGTCTCTGGCCCCCTGCACAGACACTCCCTTACTTGACCTGTAACATCAAGCTTTCACAGGTGAGGTGTGCTCTGAAGTACTTTTTTTTTTTTTTTTTAAATGAAAAATGCTTTACAGTCACCACTTGACTCATTCCAGCTGCTAGAAGAGAACAATCCAGTAATTGTGCAGCAATTTATTAACATTTTGCCTTGCGTATATATCATTTTCTATCTCCGCTTTGAGGCTAAATTTCAAGCAATTGAGAGCAATAGCTTATTCAACTACTGTCCTGCTCCTTCATTTTTTTCATTCTTCCCAATAGTGGGGCAGGATTCCTCTCTTCTGTTTCATTGCTTTGTCTCTAAAATTAAACTGTCAAGTGAAAACAGATGGGCAATTTTTCTTTAACTAGGTTAGTTCTTCCAAATGGTCAAATTTAAATTCTTAAAGGTTTTCCAGTAAATACTGTACACAGAAAAATATAACTCTTTACCAGCAGTACTGAGCTAGAAATATAACCCACCTTAGTAAATAGGCATTATACGTCATATCTCAGATTCTGTAGAAGCAAGATGAGTAACTGACACCACGTATCTTTCCAAAAGCTGTTCTAATTATGTCCTCAAATATATTGCTTTTATTCTTGAATCGTCTAAATTATATAAGCCTTTATAAACTACATCCGTTAATCACAGATCTTATGTTCTACTTAGCCAGTCTACAATTTCTTATTGTTCATAAATTAGAATATTGCCAAACTTACAATCATTTGTGTTTAGTTTACAAATACCTCAAGCATAATACATCAACTACAATGTTAATTGCTTATAGTGCTTTCTCAATCACAGCATTTTTTTGCATTCAATGTAAACCAAAACTCCATTTCATTACATTCAAAGCCTTAATAACCTTACATCTGCCAGAAAGGCCAAGGCTGGGATTAGACATGCAGTTCCTTGAGCTGATGAGCCCTTTAAGCTATCTCTGTCCCCCTGCCTGCTAAGCCTCACCACATCAGGTGAGTAACTGTTCAGGTACATTAAGCCAAGCCTTAGCAAACCCTTCCTAGAGGTCTCCAAACCTTAATAAAACTCTCTTTCAATAGCCATTCTTGCAAAAGACAACAGTCTAAAAAACAAATACCTTAATATATTTGATACTATCCTCTAGAGTTTTTATACTTGAATCTATACCAGTCTCCATACCAGTCAACTATCACCAGTTGCTTCTTGGTGCTACGTAGTTTAAGAAACCAGAATACTGTATTTCTAATGTGAATTACCTGGAATTGCCATCAATAGTCTTGCTAGATTCTCAACTTGAGAACTCTTTTTTTTTGGGGGGGTGTGTTGGGGGTAGGTGTTTGAAATCAGTGCTAACGTACAACTACACATACAGTTATTTTCTAAAATAAACTTTTCTTACCTTTTCAATACTTTTCCTGATCCCACCCCCTTCACTGCTTTTGCATCTCCTCTGAGAACAGCAAGGAAATTCTTTGGAGTGACATCCTAAGGATTGAAGAGGATTAAAGTTAAATCTGTCATAAAAACAACAACAAAATCTTCATTTAGAAAGATGGCTTCTGAAAGTCAGAATCCATGCATGGATGGCCAGTTTAGCTGGCCATCCTTTTCAATCTATCATTAGATAATGTATTAGCCACTGATCACTCAGGCACTGAATCATGAAATCACCAAGTGATTGGATTACTGTTACAATTTAAAGAAACAATTTGTCTTCCATAACTGTTAGCTCAGATTGAGTTACAACCTTTATGACTGCAAGACTCCCTTCTTTTATTTCATGTGCCAGCACAGAAACAGTCTAAAGGTTGACTTTTATGACCACTGCTTCACTTCAAAGCATCTATTGTTTACATTCATCTTAGGAACACCAAACTTCATGCCAAACCATGCAGTGCATAAGCTGGAGGCTTCACCCTATGTGCATTTTGGAGTCTAAGCTACAGGCTGAAAGGATTTTTTCAGGACACTGGCTAATGCTGAACCTTCCCTAGGGAATGGTGTTTCATTCCTACCTCCTTTGTATAGTCTTTGGGCACTCCAGCATACACATCTGTGCCATTAGGTCTGTTGATGACAATGCCTTTTGTTGGATTTCTGAAAGTTAAACAGAACATAAATGTGAAGAATTAGCCACAGAATGACAACAGAACAACTAGGAAACCATTTAAACTGTCCTGACTGGCCAGCTTGCCTGAGAAAGTGTATGGGTACTTGCATCACGTGTCGGCAAGTGATCTCGGAATGTAAAGGCCTTTTCACCTCAGTCTCACATATGCTTGTCTCCTTACCCTCAGAGTACCTTCAAGTATCCCACCTCAGCTCATGTCATAGAATCACAGAATGGTTTGGGTTGGAAGGGACCTTAAAGATCATCTAGTTCCAACCCCCCTGCCATGGGCAGGGACACCTTGCACTAGACCAGGTTGCTCAAAGCCTCATCCAGCCCAGCCTTGAAGACGGCCAGGGATGGGGCATCCACAGCTTCTCTGGGCAACCTGTTCCATTAATGTCGATTAATCTGAAGATGTGGGCAGGTGGTCTCTTATACTATCACCTCTCCACTTGCAGTCTTGCCTTTAGTACCCTCTCCTCTTTGCTCCCAGCGCTTCCGTGCATGTGAAGTCTGCCGATTTCTGCTGAAGTTGTCTCAGAATTAGAGGCTGTATAATGGAACTCTTTCACGTACAAAGCAATGATATGCTCTAGACAGTCACCAAGAATGGGACATGTACACCTGTTGAATGTACATTTGGGGAATTAGTCTGATAATGTCCTTTCAAGTCATACAGAGTTTCCCGATGTTTGTGTGTTTAGGCTATTTATCTGCTGTAAACTGTTATGCCTGGGAGTTCAGATCACTTACTACGATGAATGTCTGTGGTCCCCTGACACAGCTGATGCTGAATTGTGGACTAAAGTGTAGAAAACTCATGAGCACATTTCAGTTATTAGAGAATTAGTATGCTGATGGATAAAATGTCCCTATGCATATCACAAGTGGAGTTAAAGGCTTTTCTTACAAAACTCCTACAAACTCAAAATACACTGGTGGCTGTGGTATGTTTGTAGTAACAACGTACTACTGCACGTTCATTACTTACTCTTCATTATCAGCGATGTCATCATACATCATGACAATGATCTGTTCATCTGGAATTCCATTTCGGTGTACAATCTGGTATGCATGGCACACATCTGCCTGAAATTAAGCAGATTTTCATTATTAGCTTTAATAGAGATTTTTACCTTGAGCTTTGCAGGCTTAAGAGGAGGCTATTGTCCGAAAGAAACTTCATGCAAATATAAGAGATTGAGGGTTGCTAGAGTGCTGAAATGCACAGGTTGAACAAAACTCAATGTTTGTAGTTGCATTAGTAATAGAGACTATGATTAAAACCTCTCTCATTTACCGATTTTGACTCCTTATTTAAACAGAAAGCAGAAGTTACTTCAGACTTGGTACAGATAACAAAATTTAACTAAATGTTGTCAGCGGTTCTGTGAGCAAATTTAAATGAAAAACCTCATACACTGACAGACAAATCCAAAGTGTGCCAAGCAGCAGAAGAGTTGGATTTCTACCGATTTCAGTTAGTTCTGTACCAAGCCTGCATGACAAAGAATTAAAGACTGTCCTTGGCTTAAGCAAGTGTGGTTTACCAATCTTATCTCTTCAAAGAGTTAATTAAATTTTGTTTTACTAGATGAGACTTTTGATTAAGGAAAAATTCCTTTTTAATTATATATTTCTTGTAGAGTAACACTACAGCAACTTCAGGGCAAGAAAACAGATTTTAGTGGAAAACAGAATTGCAGAATTTCTGTTCAGGCTCTTTTCCTGGCTTGTACAGGATATGAATAAGCAGATTTTCTTTACAGAACCATCTTCACATGACAGAGAAATAACAATACTCATCAACATCCTATTACGATAAATGCAAATCTTTATCAGAATGCTAAATTCTTAGTAACCCCAGCCCAAATACTTCTCTTCCTTTAGACCTGCAGTCTGTGAATGACCTAATGGGATATCAACAACCATTTCTGAACTCTAGAACAATAACCCACCACATGCTAGAAAAGCCGTGCAGATTTAATGGAAAAAATCTCATCTAACAAATGCACACTCCAAATGCAGGCAAGAAGCATGCTTTAAAGCTTACTTCTGCTGAACTAATCTAATTTGTTAGTTTGTAAACCAAACTGAAGTGGTTTGAGTAGACCTACATAAGTTCAGATGACTTAGGAGTATTAGTGATTTTGACTACGTTAACTGAAAGGACACTGTAAAATCCTGTCATTTTATAATCCTTGGTGTTCTAAGTGTGGCTGAAGCTGAAAAGAGAGCGCAGTTCTGCAAGATCCTGGGAAGGGTGAAGCATATTCAATGCTAATGAACTCTCCCACAGCAAAATCTCTTCATGTGACTAACCCTGAATCCTTACTTAAAGCAGTTCCATTTCCAACTACACAGCCTACATTCTCTTCCACCTATCCCAGACAATCTCCACTGTTTATAGCTCTCCATTTCCATTTCCTTGCATGCCATTATACCAGCTGCTGCCCCAACAAGTCAAAAGGCAGAGGTTAATCAGTTATAAGGGCATTGCACGAAACATGAAACAGCAGAGTGCCAGTTTAACTAAACACGTATTTGATTTTCAAAAGCAATCCAAGCAAAAGTAGAACAAAACAGTGATCAGGGGATCTCTGCACTGATTGATGAGTAGAACACAGCTCCCCTCTCACTCTCAAGATGTACACCATCTCTGTTATGCTGACAATAACAGCTACAGGCTGGCAACACACAGAAATGCTTAGGCATACTATAGTTATTACCAATATATTAAACGAACAAGTGTCTGTGCTCCCACAGACGTGGTTGGCCAGTGGGGACTTCAGAGGTGTTTTTAATTAATACCAAGTGCACAAAATTAGTTAAGTTTTGTAAATGCTCATTATCAGCCTTTTTTGCCTCCTCTCTCCTTCCCTCTGATGAACTAGTTGCTTACTATGTCCTGTCTTAGTAAAGTAGACATTGGTGGTAAACTTAAATGGTTTAAAATCCCCAGTGTGGAGGGAAACGATGAATGTAAACAATTCCCCTTAACCTTAACTTAAGCCTGTTTGGGAATTGTCCAAGCCTTTTAAGGCTTTTAGTAAGGGAACTGTACCTGCTGGTAGCATGATAATACCAATGTAGGCTAGAGCAGCAAAAAACGTGTTTTGCTGCTAAAAATCCATTGGCTAAAGTAGGACAGTTCTGAGTAAACAGTTGGGGTTTTTTGCACAGAATTAGCCCTGACCTAGCTGCCTTTGATGTTGGTTACATACTCCTCCTGTTCCCCCCTGTACATGTAAGAAAAAAAAAAATCTCTACAAAACCAGAATAGAAACAGTCTGCTGCTAGAGTAGGGAAGTGTATGTGAACCTAGAGTATTTCCTGTTGATGTGCAACTGCCTCTCAAATACTGCTCTTTGAGCCTTGTTTCTTCCAGAAATATTTCTGACATAGCTTTACCTGTGAACCACCCTAAAAGAGACAGATAACATTGTTCCCGATATCTTGTTGCTATTATTCTTGTTGGTTTAGTATATAAAACAAATGCTATGAAGATTTACCAGATAAATGATCACTAAATGCAAACCATGCTTTTGTGGCCACCATTTGGGGTGGGTAGCAGCTGCCCTACACAGAAGGGGAGGTATAGCTGCACCCAGAGAAGGGTGACAAAGCTGGTGAAGGGTCTGGAGAACAAATCTTACGAGGAGCAGCTGAGGGAACTGGGGTTGTTTAGCCTAAAGAAGAGGAGACTGAGGGGAGACCTGGTGGCTCTCTACAGCTCCCTGACAGGAGGCTGTAGGGAGGCGGGGGGCGGGGTGGTCTCCTGTGGGACTGGGGACTGGGTAACTGGTGATGGGACAAGACGAAATGGCCTCAGGTTGTGTCAGGGGAGGTTTAGATTGGATATTTGGAAAAACTTCTTTACTGGAAGAGTGGTCAGGCACTGGAACAGGCTGCCCAGGGAAGCGGTGGAGTCACCATCCCTGGAGGTGTTCAAGGAACGTGTAGACGTGGTGCTTGAGGACATGGTCTAGTGGGTATGGGAGTGTTGGCCTGATGGTTGGACTAGATGATCTTACAGGTCTTTTCTGTCCTTTTCTGTGATTCGGTACAGCTGCTTTGGCACAACTGATCTCCCAGGCCAGCTCTACAACAGACTGTTAATGGCATGGTTCAGACCTTTCATCTCCACATCAGTCTAAACCTGTTGCTACATCAGCAAATTCCTATGGAAGACCTATGCTTAAATCTGCTTAAATAATTAACTCCTAGATTTTGAAAGCATGGGGATCAGAGGTGGAATTCCTCTGTTTTCAAGGGATGGGCATTTTGCTTCCCAAAATGTCCATTTGGGAGAAGTTCTAAAAGAAAAAAAACACGTACACCAACTCTCCTCTGCCATGCAGCTGTTTACGCATTTGAATGACACACCATCCAAGCAGACTGCAGGGGGGACGGTGTTTGGAAAAATCAAGTTGTTTTATGAGACATGCATGCATACAATAAATAGTTCCTAAAGGGAAAAGCTTGGACTTCTGTGAAATTGGTTACTTCTGGTCTTATGACTGCTAGGTTCGCCACTAAAAAGCATGTGTAATGAACCATCAGCTTCATTGCAAAGTGAGACTGTTGCCATTACAGGTACGCTGAAATGCCATGGCCTAAAAAAGAATGAACTCTAATATATAAGCATGGTAGAAGAGTATCTCTGAAATGCCAGCCATATTTCACTACCTTGCTTAAACATGTATCGGTGAATCAGCCAAAAACTGTGACTGTTTTAAGAACTTAAGAAAGATTTTCCCATACCTTTCATTACCAATTTGTAAATACAATGAGGACAAGTTAATTGAAAATAAGCAGCCAAAGCATTCTTTAATGTCTGTCACCTGCAAGACTGGACAATTTAGGACTGTCCTAGAACAGGAGACTGCTCTGGTTGGTAAAGTCCAAAACCCTGAATAAATACAGTCCCTGGCCCATAAAGCTCAGTTACATATAAGACTAAAAACGATGGAACACAGACCCATGTATGCAAATTCAAATGTGTTTATTTTCATCATTTTAATTTTGCTAGACTTTTTCAATTATTTTCCTCCTCAAGTCTGTACTCTACCTTTAAGTATGTCTGTGTTTCACATCAAGCTTTTTCACTGACTATGTCTTTTGGAGAATCCACAAAGTATTGGTCTGTCTCTCTGATGTGTTTGCAAAGCCAGCTTTAGGTCTGAGTTAGCTGCTATGAGCATCTCCTAGGAAAGGCAGAAGTATATACAAAATTCTATTTTTCTTAAAGGGATCTAGTTTGTTGGCTCATTCTCTAAATCTACCAGTAGCAGTTAGCGCTGTATTTGCTCATGTATGTCACTAAGCTTTCCAGAGATACATCATCTACCTCTTTACATAGTAGAGACCTGAGCCAGAGAAGGGTGGGGAGAGTACTCTTTCTGGTATATATTATGAGTGCTTAGTTGCATGTAGGGAAGAGAAACCAGTCTGGTAATAAAAAGGCTGCTATAGAGAAGTCAGAACAACTGCTGAGGAGCAGAGAGGAGCACGTCAATAGTCCTTCCACAGCTCAAACAACTCTAATCAAAAACACTAAGATATGGGTAAAAACACCAAAGAACCGAGAAGCCACAAGCCTATAGCTCTGCAGTGACAGTAAGCCCATCACACTGGGCTGTATACTATTCAACACACTTAAAATTTGTTTTAGGAACTTGATGAGACAAATATGTAAGACAAGCTTAGATCTTCCTGATTAGGAACAGCCCCAGTTCAGTCACCACAGGGGAAACAAATGCCTGCAAGGTGTAAATCTCACTGACAGATACGTGCAAACGGTGGTTTTTTTCCTTATCTTGTCTATGCTTGAGGTTTGCACCACTGAGAGTGGATCCAGACCACTGACAGCTGAATTACAAGTCTTAGAAGGAGTTTCAGATTCCTTGAGGTTACAGACGCAAACACAGCGTTTACAGGGTCTGCACCGTCCTTACAAACGTAACGTTCCTGGGGTCTGTACAGCATACAGTGATGGACTATATTCTCCACAAGTTTTCATGTATGAAATTAGAGACACTTTTGAAGGTGTAATATTATTCTTCTCATTTTGTGGTTGTTCAGCCAGATGAACACATCCTGCTGTTAGGTAACTATTGAGGAAAGCAACAGCGTATGTTTTGACTGTGTTGTGTGCAGGCAGCATGCAGAACAACTGGAGTTCACAAAATATATAAATGTAATACCAACATGTGACATCACTTACTAACTGTACCCTGAACAGCCAAACCGAGCAACTGAAACCCAGAGATGTCTCAGCTGAGCTCTCAAATTACAAAGGGCTAACATGAGTGTTTAATTGCATGTAGGGAATAGCAACCAGTCCGGTAATAAAACAGTCACATTGAGGAACTACTTACAGGAACATTTGCATCTACAAATTCACTTGTACGCAGGCTAGGTCAGAGAAGTTCTGAGGAAGAAAGGCGATGGCAGGAGGCAAGTGAATTAGAGCACAACATATTTCCTTCTGCAGTTTCTCCCTTGGATAGCAAAGAATGACGAAACTGCAGTCCTGGAGCGCTGCTTTGCTTTCTGACAGCACAGATGATGTTCTACTGAAAATTAAAGTGTGTTTCTGTGTGTGTTCACGATGGAATGACTTTTCATGATGGGTGAAGCACAGAACTGGATGTCCAAGTCCTATTCCTGGTTCCACTATAAGTGACTTGGGCAAATAATTTGAATACTTACACTGCTTTTGCTTCCACTGCTGGAAGGTAGGGAATACTAACACATGCAGATACATGGTCAGCAGTTTGCATAATGTCTCCAAAAATCTGTTAGAACTCCTGAGATTTCTGTACTACCTTTCCTCCTCTCTGTAAGTCTCCTAAAAGTCTATGGTTCAGCTGGTTTTGCTGGGAAGAGTTTTCCCCATTTTTCTGATACCCAAGGCACCCTTCTCTGGATTATGCTTCATGGAACACACAAAGTGTATTTTCCACGACTAACTGCTGGGTCTGCCTCACAGTATGCCCTCCCACCACCAGTGCTCGCTCCTGCCAGGCCCTTAAGGTTGGCAGTACACAAGACAGCACAGGCTGCTGAAGCACCTCATCTTCTGGGAACTGAGTCTTTTCATAACAAGTTAGAGGCACAGTAGCTTGCCCAAGACAGGCAAGTAGGAACTCAGCCCCAGTTTAAAAAAAAAAAAAAGTATGCGAAGGATCCTTCAATGACATCGATTTCATGACTTTGATAATCCTTATTAGTGGTGTTCTAATTTTTTTTTTTCCCCCAAAATGTTAATACTGTACCTGAACCCAGTGGTAGAGGTCAAAATTCTGAAGTTCAACCCTCGAAATTTCTGTACCACCTGACATTGTACATCTGCACTGTTAGTTGATAATATCTTCAACATGAAGGTCCCTGAAGGTGTTTAAAGAAATCCCATTCTCATTTTTCTAACCCTGAAAAGCAATTACTTAACTGTCTGCAAAGCATGACCACACTCAATTTGTTTCTGTGAAACTGGCATGTTTGAAAGACTTATTGTGGGATGGGAGTATGTAAGCATGAATCTTGTGTTCTTCATAATTCCATTATACTTGGCAGATACACTTGTCACTGAAGGCTCGCTAACAGAAAGGTCAAAAACTCTATTCTTGGGCAACTGTAGAGAAGTAATTCTCATAAGCCACAGCTTCAAAAATGTGATTTTATTGAAAGAATGAATGTTGCATTATTAACTCCTCCTAGACTGGAAGGGAGCCAGTGAGACTGGTTATACAGCAACAGCAACAACCAGAGCAGAACTCAGTAATTGTATTTAGAAACTTCAGGGTGGGCACTGACTAAGTCCAACACCAGGATTTTTATAATTGTTTTCTGATTTCAATTTTGAAAAATCTGGGGTTTTTCAGATTTAATTTGAAATAGGAATGGCTTATATAAAGGCTGTAATCTCGCAACTAGGGTTATCAGGCAATAGCTACAGTGCAAGGAGCAGGCCAGATCCCTAAAACCAGTTTATCAAAGTCTTGAGCTAGCACTGCCAGTACAGGTTCTACTTCAGATGCAAGAAGGCTGTCAGTCTGGTTCATTCAGTTTTAAGCTCATCACTGCACTGAAAGTTACAAACTGGTTGTGAGCTGAGAGGCAGGAGAAACATAAACATGGAGTATTTGTTTGTTGTGGAATTGTGGTCTGAGTTGAGTGTCAGAATGTACCCGATTAAATCCAAGTGACTTAACTATGATTAAGTTCAGCACAGGAGACTAAGGCAGTATATCCATCACGCCCAACACAGGGAAGGCTTGTTTCTTCCTCAATCAACACAAATAGAGAGGATGAAGCCTCTCTCGATTCTACAGGAAATTAAAAATAATAAATACTTTAAAAGTTTCAGTGTTCAGCAAGTCAGCTTGACATATGCACCCAGTACATGCAGTCCAGCTTAACTTTTAAAATGCTGGGTTTGTACACTAGTGTTTTAATCTCTGAGTTCACCTTAACCAACAATAGTCTAAATGTTAGAAAAAATTAACTAGACATATACAAATTTATACATAAAGCAGAATTAAGTGGACAGCGCTCTCCAGGAAAGCAAGAGTTCCAAGTTTAGAGCAAAGACAGCATTTAAGTGTAGATTAATCTGTTTAAGGGATTGCCCAAGAATTCCCCAAAGGGAAAAACTGCCACAGTCTCCTGACTGCCGAATATAAACCCTGAACTTAATCAGAGTTAAGTCACTTGGATTTAATCCAGTCCATCCCGACACTCACACTCAGACCACAATTCCACAACACGCTGGCTTTGACAGCAGTGACAAACTCAGGAGTTCCTGTTCCCTTTTCTCCTTTTTCTGCCATTCACTCTGATCCCTGCACCCCTGCCATTCACTCTGATCCCTGCACCCTGGTGCTTCGCATCCCTGTTGTGCCAAGACAACTCTGAGGCCGTGCTGTCAAACACAGTAAGCAAACCCATTCAGGTAAAAAAGAACCCCCTCCTGGATATCCTTCGCCCCACCAAAATACACTCTGCATTTGCAGCCTTTGCTGATTTTGTAAGTGGAGAGAAGAAAGGGAGCTTTTCCATAACATATGAAAAAGAGGAAAACAAATAGAAAGAAACATGCATGTGTCTCAAAATGAGGTTTAATTCAAGACATCATTTGCTCACCTGCAAGTTGAGGTCAGATCCTCTAGCCAAGTAATAGAATATTTAGCCTAAATGATAGAGGTCTCCCAGGATGCAGAAGCATGATCAGAGGAAGCATACTGCTCCTGTTAGTGACAGATTTTCAAAAGATGGAAGACTGGACAAAGTTGTAATTAAAAAAAAAAATCCAAATATTAAAAGGAACAGTGGAGGGGAATTCTTGGGGTAAGAGTGACAAGAATTAAGACCAGGCTGGGAGTGAATCTTGTTGCTGTTCATTTTGAAAACTTCATGCAGCCCCGGAAGTCTAGAAGTAGAAGCGCTTGCCCAAATGACAGAAGGGCTGAACTAGTCTAGGCAGCTAGCATCTCCCCATGAGTCCCACAGCAAGCATTTTCTGGAGCGTGGCCAGCGTCAGCATGTGGGACCAGAGGTCCTTACCTGGTGTCGATAGTTGTACCAGCCGTTCGAACCTGCAACAATCACCACCCAGTGCTTGCCTCCATCTTCAGGGTCTTCCACAGGGAACGTGCTGATGCCCAGAATGCAGGCCAGCAGCACAACTGCTTTCAATATCATCCCTCTTCTGTATTTACTCCACAAATAGGAGGAAAAAAAATCCTTAATGAAGAAGTTTGAGAGAAGTAGATCAGAGGACATCAGTGAAAAATAAAACAAACACAAACCAAACATCAGCAGTATCACAACTAGAAGCTTTTCTTGCTTGTGGCGGGTTGTTTATTTGTGCGTGTTCTACAGACTATTCAACCCACAGTACAATTTCTGGTCATATTTTCCTTTAGCACCAAGCTGCCACTAGTTATAAGAGTTTTCTGTCAGCTTTCAAATCTGACTGAAAGCAATTCTGAATAGGACAAGCAAGTCTCTCAGCTCCCCCTCGTTGTTTTGTTCTATAATAGCTGGTAATGAACAACCCTTAAATACAGAGCAAGCCTCACTATCAAGTAATTCACAGATAAAACCTTTTCACATTAACACTAGTCTCTTGCTCTCTGCTTATGTAATTCACTGTTTCCACTCACTGGCAATTAGCCCATTATTACTGAGTCAAATCCTGGGTGATTCAGGCACAAGGACACATAGACATGGTGATTTGCTTGGGAGTTGGAAGGTCAGTGTCACAAAAGCTCTCTGTGCCCGCTAAGCCAGAGAGGGTGGAGTGAGGCCATGCTGCTGTTCTGCACAAGATACAGCCCTAGCTGCTGGGGCTGGGGGGGAAGTACAGACTGTGGGAGCCTCATGCTATTTGTGCAAACTGTTATGCTAGTGGAGAGCAAACGTGAGCCGGTACCACATGAAAGAGTAGCATTTTCAGCTCTTCGGCACAACGGTCAAGTGTTTGCCCAAGGTGCACAGCGAGAGAATCAGGTCTGAGGCTGTGGAGGTCAAATTCAGAAAAGCAGGGCCAGAGAGGAGCTTTCAGCCCATGCAGAAAGAGCCGTTTCTGCTTTCCTGAGAGGACTAGAAGTAGTGTCCGCACTAGTGATCTTCCCGAGGACCCTGACTGTCTGATAAAGTGTTTGCTATAAAATCAAACAATCTGGCCATATCTAATCAAAGGCCTGGACTATTGGTGGGGGGAAGGGTTATGTATATTGGTCACAGTCTCAGGTCTGCTGTACCCAAAGTGCCCTCATAAAGCAAACTCCCTTGAAGGACTGCATGCTCTTGGTACATGCACAAAAATTACATACTTCCTCATGCACTGAGAGACAGGATTTTACAGCGGCCTACTTACAAAAAAGAGATTCTGGAGGTTGATCATTGCTGATAAGTGTGTAAGAGGTGGTGTAGTAAGAGGTGGAGCGGTCTGCTTTAGCATGGTTTTCTCTGGAATAAAACCTGGGAACTCTCAAGCCATGTGATGCAGTCAAAATGTCAAAGCTACCACTAAACCAAATAACTGATCAGTATCAAAGGTCAGTCTCAGTTCCTCACCACCAAAACCGTCCATCTGCAGCCACTCCAATGAGGCTGAAACAGAGAATGAGCCAGCCCACCCCCAAGGCAGCTGTTCACTGTAAAACTGCTAGTAGTATGAAAAATATATTATATGTATTTTTGGAAGTTTGGGGTTTTTTTTCTTTTTAATGGAGCTAGCACAAAGTAAAGGAATTCCTGTTAGCATATCAGCTCCTATAGAAAGGACCGCATAAAAAAATCCAGAACAGAAAGGAAAAGACAGAACCAAACGTTAACGTATTATGATGCCACTTCTTCCAAAAACTCATCTGAATCTAGGAAACTTGTCTGTCAGGAATAAGCCACTCCTCTCACTGCCTGCAAATGTGAGATTTGGGACTGAGAACAATGCATGACAACTGAACAGTTTAGGGTTTGTTGAATTATTAGCTGCTTCAGCAGTTCAGGAGATATGAAGGAATAAGCAGAGTTTTTCTGCAGATTGATAGTTATAATCTCTTATGTTAAGCTGGAATTGTAAATTCTTGTCATTGTTGCCAGTGACAGGTAGCTTTGTATGGCAAGCTGCCTTGTCTATCTTGTCACTTCTTCAGATGATTAAGACAAATAACATACTAACAACTGCATTGAAAATATACTGTGTTTATAACATCCACAAACCCAGCCTATTCTGCTGTCTACAGCACAGCTAAGATTCAGACCAAGTTGTTTAAAACTTTTCTAAAGTGCCATAATACACCACAGGCCAACAAGCCTATTCATTCCCAATACACAGTTCCAGATATATCTAACTCCTGAAATATTAGACAAGAAAATCAATATATTTCAGATGATCTGCTTAGAAATGTTAACTGAGTTTGACTTACTGGGACACGGAGACAAATTTATTGCAAACAGATCCTTCAGAGCTCAGTATCTATTTCACGAGAAGAAACTTCCTCTTATTTCCCCAACTAAAAACATTACATTTACATAGATAATACAAAGAGAAAATAAATGGTTCAAACGATTGCTGGAGAACCTTTCACCTGATACTTAGCTCTTAGAGATGTAAATGATTAATTTGAATCCAGGACATACCAGTAGAAGCGGTGTTGCTGCCAGCTGTTCACTGGGCCATATAACATGGTGGCTAATTTCAAGGCAAATCCTAGCAGACAGGTATCCATCCCATGGAAACGGTCACTGCCACCAGCTGTCAGTTACTGACACACTACACAACAGAGACTAAAGCAGCTTCAGAAAAAACACACTATGGAGTGCTAAGTCCTGAACTGGGAACAGTTTGATGAGACTGTCTTTGCCGAAGAGTTCACATTCCAGACTACACTAACATGGATCTATAGCTCTCAGACCTGGCAGGGGGCCGTGCTGTGCGGGACACGGGCGTATGAAATACCAGCCCTGCATTCTGCTTATAAGCAGGTCCCCAACAGAAAAACCCAGGACCAGATCAGGAACGAAGACCTAAGTTGTCAAGCCCCTCCATGAAGAATTTGACAGTCTCTCATGTGGTATGTGATATCCAGTTTCTCACCTCTGCTGAGACAGAGTTGTGAAAGATGCAGAAGGCCCAGGAAAAAAACCAAACACCTAAAAACATTTGCACTGTATTTAGAATAGGAAAAAACAACTTCTCTTTTATACTTATTAATAAAATATAATCCCACTCATCTGTCTTCTCCTATATTATAATTAAAATCAAATTAACACCAGAAAGAAGGGGAAAAAAAACCCTAGACATACCACAATGCTCTAATAAGCCATGATTAATAAATGCTCAGCTCCCCACGGTTCTCTGAGCAGCGTTTAAAATAGGTTAAACCATTAAACACCTGCAGTGGGAAAGGTCTTTCATTGTTTGTTTCCAACTACTAAAAAAAAACCCCAAACACCCATATTTCTGCTTGTTTCAAAAAAAGCCTTTCAGTGCTCAGGCAGACAATTTAAAAGATTCTGGGTTATGCTGAATGAGTTGACCTACAGCCGAGAAGAGAAAGTTCCCCTCACACGCTGTCTTCAGATCATATTCAAAGAGAAACCAGCTCAGCTGACCAGCTTACCACAGGTACAGAAAAAGCCCTTTTCTGAAAAGTGAGGAATCAAAGATCTGTCACATGCAATCCTAAATGCAGATTGCGGCTATATGTAAGAGCTGAAAATTCACTACAAGATCATTTTACAGCTTTGGCTGACTCCCAAAAATATAAAATAATTTGATCAGCTCTGCCTAGTCTTTCTGGCAGAAGAGTTAATTACTCTTGCACAGCCCCTGGAAGAAGCATGGACAGAACTGGGTGGCTCTCGCCAGAACAATTCACTCAGCTCTTCAAACCTGTCTTTCCTGACAGAGGCACCTTGACCACTATGCATTAGATGGCTAGCACACCCCTCTGACTCGATAAGAGAGGGATCCTTAAGAAAGACTGCATCTGAAAGTGGGCAACTGCTGCTAGACCAATTCTCTGGTCAACAGCCTGTTCCCCAAGTTCCCAACTTTCCTCTGGGAGAACAGTCCACTAAGATCAAAAATCTTAGAACAGGAAAGCACTCAGTGTGAGTTGATCAAAGTATTTTCCACTACTGTTTAGAATGATGCTGACACTCCAGTAGCTTAAACTCCAAACGGAATCACAGAATGGTTTGGGTTGGAAGGGACCTTAAAGACCATCTAGTTGCAAACCCCCTGCCATGGGCAGGGACACCTTCCACTAGACCAGACTGCTCAAAGCCTCGTCCAGCCTGGCCTTGAAGACAGCTCTTCAATACCTCAAGCACAGCCTCCAAGAGCTATATAAACAGGAACCATATATCCATTTTTCCCTTGGTGTGAAATAAGTGAGTTAACAGTAATATTGGGGGAAAATAACAGCCCTAAGCTAATCATTCCAGTTTTTCTTGGAAATCTCCATTTCTTTTCAGTTGCTCTTCTTGTGACCACTAGCCTTTTAGATTTCAGAATCAAGTCACAATTCCCTTTCCAACACAGCGCTTGCATATTGCCTGTCACTGTAGTATTTAGTTTTGGATTTCCACAAGATACGTGACCCATGACAACCCTCTCCACAGGAAGCTCATGTCTGCCATTCTCTGTCAATGTTCTGCCTACACGTCGAGCCAGCTGCCACACAAACTGAAGCGCCTAAACCTGTGATTAAGCCCCTAAGGAATTAGTCTGACTTTCTTTATGCGCTTGTACGGTAGAAAGAAAAAGTCTTCATTGCTGTAGACTGTGATAAGCTAAATTTTGAAGGAGGCTATGGTCTCTGTTGCAAAACAATTCTTGACGAAGTCTACTAGTAACGAGTTTATGCACCAGCTTAGTTTGATTAGAACTTGTAGTAAAATAGTTTAGTATAGCTACCGAGGATGTGCAAGTCACTATACAATAGAAACAAGAAGTTGTAATGTTAGCTCAGAATGGTTTTAAACATTAAATAAAGGTATTTAGAAGTTTTATTTAAAAAAAAAAATCATTCTACTGTTCACAGATTTGTCCTTCCTAGCAGCGATCTGCATTTCAGATCTTCCCTGCAATCTGTTTTAACCCCATAATACAGGCACCCACCAGAGTGTTGTCCCAGCCTAATTAAGAACTTGGTGCTAACTCGGAGCGCGGGATTTTTGGGGCATCATCAGCTCTG